GGACGGGCGGGCCAGTGCAGGGAGTTAGGTCCAGGGGGGGGGGGGGTGGCATGCGCTGGGCCGTGTTCGAGGGCCCCGTGTGTGCCTCTCTCTTTCTCCCCCCCTGCCCTGGACCGACAACCGGGCACGGGCGAAAGGACACAAAAAAAAGGGGGGTTGGGAACCCCAGCCCGACAACTGCATGATTAGGATGGCTAGTGTCTAGTGGCGGAGGGCCGAGGATCTGACCAGTCGGCGAACCTTCCGGGCCGCGCGCGCCAGACAAGACGAGAAGGGGGGGGGGGGCGCTCCTGGAGTGTGCCGCCTCCGGGCGACGAGCAACACAGGTCAGCTGCCAAGACAGAAGCCAGGCCACACTGGGGCCCTTCCACCGCGGAGGGGCGAGGGGCGAAGGCAGTGCGAAGGAGGGGAGCAAGTCCATGGGCCGTGCCGCCGAACAATCATCACTGCATGCGCGCGCGCGCGCGGCCACGGCCCAAGGCCTCCCTTGTGCCGAGGTGCGTGCCTGGTCGGCTGGGAGACACCGGCATGAGAGGGCGCGGGGGGCGCGGGAACGGAGCGGCTCTCAGTCCCGCGGCTCCCGGGCGCCCCAAGCAGGCGCGCAGGCGTGAAGCCAGCGACCGAGAGTGGCGGCTGGAGGCTCGGGGGGGGGGGGGGGGGGGGGGGGGGGGGGGGGGGGGGGGGGGGGGGGGGGGGGGGGGGGGGGGGGGGGGGGGGGGGGGGGGGGGGTGCTGCTTCTCGCTCCCCGGGACCCTCCTCAGCCGCATTCGGAGCGTGCCCACTTGCGGGGCTGGCGAGGACTTCCCCTGGTGTGTTTTCGGACGAGTGTTGACCGAGGTTGCACCGGAGATCTCCATCTGCTTACCCTTCTTGGCTTGGAGTTCCCTATAACTGAGGTCACAGGGTCGACGCTGCCCCACTCTCCGCCCCGGGTACAGTGCGGCATCCACCGAGCTGGCTCTGGGAAAACAGGCTGTGTCTGGTGCGACCAGATCAGGATCAGATCGCCGGGAGATCTGGATGCTCTTGACGGGGAGAATGCCCCGGGGGATGGGCTGGCGGCGGCCATGGGCGACTGAAGGGCCTTCAAGGAGGGACGGTGCCTTGCCGGGGGGAGGGGACAGTGTGCGGGCCACGGCGGCGGCGGTGGCGGTAACATGGACAAGCGCCGGGCGACGGGGGGGGGGGGGGGGGGGGGGGGAGGGAAGGGGCGCGGTCGGGGATGGCGGCACAGCAGAGACACATGTGCCGGCGCGCCCATGGCAAGGCCTTCGACAGACGGGATCTGGAGGTGACGGCATTCCAAGCCGGCCCAGGCCCGGAGCCCCGGGCATTCGGACCCAAGCCCTGGCGCATTGGAGCCTGCCCCGGGGCGCCCGGAAGAAGGTGCCCGGCATCACCAAACTCGGCCGTGTGAGTGGGGAGCAGACAGAAGGGGGGGGGGGCGTGTCTTGTTGTTAGTAGGGCCGGCCAGAGACCCGGTGCGGGCGATGTAGGGCCAGGCACCAAAAGTGGACTGAGGAGGGCTCGTCGAC